AGAAAAGATATCAATAAAATATACTTTAAAAATATTTGCAAAAAGAGATTATTGGTAACTTTGGAGGGAGTAGTTTCAGTTGAACTATAAAGTAAAAGGCAGATTGCAGAAAATTTGTGTGAGAATGAAGTAAATATACCTAACATAGATGGCTTCCTCAAAGTGTTTATATGAGAAAGAGAGAAAAGATATATGATTGTAGTTTGTATGAATAGTGAGATTGAGTGAGAGTTTTTTAAGGATGGAAGAGAAATAAATGGGTGAATTTATTGGCATAAGGGAAGGAGACAGTAGATCAGGAAACACTGAAGATTGGAAAAAGAGTGGAGATAATAATGAGGGTGATCTGACGGGAAAATGAGAGGGGATTAGATCAAGGGGGTATGCAAGAAAGGCCCATTTTCAATTGAGACAAGCGTGAGGGAGGAGATAATAGAGGAAGATGTCTATGTGGTATAAGACGAACTTATTGTTCTTTTCTGTAATGTTGTAATGATGGAACAGGGGATTGGTTAATGGGATACCAGTTTTAGAGCATGTGAAAAGGACTCATGTTCATATTTGATGAAGCTGCTTCTGTAAGTATAAATGTGCAGAATGGAGAGGCCATCACTTTCCAATTCTGAACATTGCCAAGTCTTCTCTATTTCCTATCTGTTTACTGCTTGGTAGAGAACATTAAGAATTTCTGAATCCCAGCTTCCTGGATCAAGAAGGGAGAATTTCCTGAAGAATATCAGGATTATCATTTATTATCATTTATTATAAATTATCATTTAGATAAGAAAGAGGAAATTATTGAGTAGCTTGGTGATTTAGGAGAGAAGAAAATCAAACATGTAGCCCCACAGCTGTAGCAGCAAGGAATTAAATTGAATATGGGAGAGCAAAAGACCTAGGTTTTGCCATTATATGTTTGGGATTTTTTTTTTTTTTTTTTGGAGAAGGGTTGTTTGTTTGTTTTTAATTTTCTGTAGGGAGTTCTGCAACCAATATCTATTGTTATCATAAATGCTTTCTTGGGAACTGGGGACTATTTTACACACATCTGAATAGAATGAGACATAAGCTATTCCAGGTGTGTATAGCCACATTCTGAGGTTTCTGGAGAAAATTCTGGATATGAGCAAAATGAACCAGAGAAATATGAATTAGGATCTGCTTATAAGATTGAACCCATAGCCTAGAATGTAAGGTTCTGGACTTCAGTCTTCAGTGCTCTCCCACATTAGGAGACCCTGTGAGCAATAGAGGATGAGCATGATCATAGTAAAAGAGATTTCATAATCAATTTTTATATGGCAATCTGCCAGTTGGGGTACTGTGGATTAAGACATAACAATTTTATAATGATATTAGAAAAAGCTTACAGATATTTCAATAACAAACAGTAAAGTTTTCATATGTTCCAATATATGTTTAACCCCTTTCAATGCTACTCTTTGAACTTCTCTTGTGAGGGTACAAAAATCGCACTAATTGAATTGCCCACTTCACCATCACTCTGCACCATATGTCTGTCCTATACAGTAAATGTCAAAATGTTTTGGAGCACCCCTCCCCCCAAAAAAATGAAGGGAGAAAAAAGGAAATCTTATGAAAAGAAAATAAATCACAATATGTAATCCAAATAGGTTTTAGTTTGGTATTTTCATCTAAATCATAATCTTTAGATCTAATTTTGAAAATTCTATAGTAAATTCAGAATTAATAACAATAATAATAGTATTCGTTCTCTACCTTTGGAAAGAGTTTGGTCAAATAAAATTCCTTCACATTATACTTCATCATCAGCATTGTAATTAAATATGACTTTCTCCCTGAACCCATTAAAATAGAATTATAATTATCAAGATAAGCATTTATTGTATTAACTAAATCTCTTCAATATGCAAAAAAAAAACCTCGCCATTTAGGGTAAGCAGCTTATAGCTCCCAAAGAAAATAAATAGCCTCCACTTTTCATTAAGGGAAGAAATTATTCATTTTTAGCCAAGACATAATGATGTTTCAATTTCTCTAACTTAAAAGTTCTTCCATAAATACTCTGTTTTAATGCTGACACAAGGATCTTTTTTTCTTTTACATCTAGTTACAACTTTTGAATATTGTTATATATCTCATACAACAAATATGACAAGTAAATGCATTCATAATACATAAGGTAAAAACTGAAATATTATTTTTCTTTCATAATCGAGGCTAAAAGCACAAGATGAAGGTTTTGATTTGTTTTAGCAAATCCAAGTCAAAGAGTTGTATTTCTTTTTATGTTCATCTATTCATGAGTTCATTTGTGGAGTTTTTTTAATACATGAATCTCAACACTGCAAACATATGCTGTCACCCTGGGGGCAAGCCTTCAAATAATACTAATAACTGTGAGTTTATTCAGGAATCTCATTAATGATTTATAAACATTAATTATGGAGTCTCAAGATATCTTTGGGAAGAAGGAAAAAGTTAATATGCTGATCTTATGGAGGCACAGAGGGTCCAACCAAGGTCAGCCTCTGTATGAGGGGTTTGGGGAGCAGAGAAGGGACTGACTCCTTCATCCCCAGCCCTCTTTCCAGATGTGCTTCATCTGAGGCAGAAATCACCTAGCACATCAGTAAGAACACCAGAGAATTTGATTTTCAGTCCTGTCAGGAACTATCTCTATTCTAATCTATATGGTAAAAAGAATCCCCACTGCATCACATGCACAACTGGTTGTACAGCATACTGGAAATTATTTTACTGAGTTAGAAAAAAATAATAAATTCATTTGGAAAAACAAAAAATCAAGAATTTCAAAGAAACTAAGAGGAAAAAATGTCAAAGGAGGAAATTCAGCAGTACCTGATCTTAAACTGTATTATAAGGTGAGAGCATTTTTGAAGTGTAAAATGGATTTAGATTATCTTAAATTAAAATTTTCTTGTATAAATAAAACCAATGTAGCCAAGAGTAGAAGGAACATGAAAAATTGGGAAAAAAAACTTTCATAGACAATCTCTCAGATAGGATATGATTCTGTTGGAATACTGCTATGATATAAGAAATGATGAGCTGGTTGATTTGGAAAAACATGGAAAGACTTAGACCTATGAAGGAAGATGCTATCCACCTCCAGAGAAAGAAATGACAAATAGAAATATGCATAGTATGGTCTTATATATATGTATGTTTATATCTATCTATCTGTTCATGTTTAATTGTAGCCTTCCAGTGGAGAGGCAGAAAATAAAGGAAAAAATGAACAGCAGAGAACAAAAGAATACCTAGAAGGAAGCAAAGAAAAACTGGGTAGCTTTGAAAACAATATGTAGTATTTGTTGTGTAGGTTTTATTGAAATGGAAATTTATTGTTTTATATGAATCCTCTCTGATGTTCTATTGTGTACATGAAATGTTCTTTCTTTTCTTTTCTTGTTTTACATTTAAGTTTAAAATCAATAAAAAATTTACACATGCACACACACACACAGAGACAAAAAAAAAAAGCTGGTTGTACAGCCTTTAATTGAAAGCCTCCAGGGATGGTGAGGCTAATTAATTGCTTGCACTCTGAGTTCAAAGCTGATTGAGGTTCTGAATTAAGTTTGGCATCAATATGCTGAGCCTTCAAGGGTGGGAGTACAGGGGGACTTAAGCAGGGGTCTAGCCTAGGGTTTCAGTTAGGGAAGGAGAGGAGCAAAAACAAGGAAAGAGAACCAACCTCCTCTCAAGCAGCCCATTCAACTTTGAATACCGAATTGTTGTGAATTGTTTCCGATATTATCTACTATTGATTTCTTTGTATCTTCCACCCATTGATCCTGGTTCTGCCTTTTAGGGCAAATGACTTTATTATTTTTTTTTTATCACATATGCCTCTCTGTTTAAAATAATGAACATCCCTCCATAAATGCATATTCACTTACTTAAAAGTGTAGATATATACGTATATTTCACTAATAATTATCATATATGTTACAAAACATTAAAATAAATATTTAGGAACATAAGATAAAGTTGAAGTCATATTTAATCCTAGAGTCAAGAGGTAGGCATTACACCTTGCTGAGGAGGAAAGTGACATAATCAGAACCATGCTTTGGGAAAATCATTCGGTAGTTGTGTGCAAGACTGATATGACAAGCATTTCACTTGACTTAAAGTCTCAAATCTGCGATGTATTCCCTATATGATTTCAGAGAGTTTATTTAATCATCTTTGACCTCAGTATCTTTATTTGTATAATAGGGAGTCAGACTCCTGGATCTCTAAGGTCCTTTTCAGCTCTTGATCATAAGAATGAATGAATACATTTTAAGTGGTTACAGATTGGCACGATATGGAAGGGACATTGTTAGTATGCCAAGGCTGAACTGATATTATTCATATGATAATTTATATGACCTGTATAACCCACTCACAGCAGTTGTCAATGGGAGCAAATATCCCTAAAACTTCCCACAGTCAGAAGGGTTAAAAATCAAAATCAATTCAGCCTGGAACAATCTCGGATCTCAAAGAATTAGAGAAGTACAGAATATGAGAGGTGGAAAGGACCTTCAAGATCATCCAGTCTAGTCTAAAGCCATCATTTTACAGATGAAGAAACTGAGATCCAGAAAGATTTTTTAGCAAATTGAAAGCCATTCAACTATCTAGAGTCACAATTAGTTTTTTTGTGCCTCCACTAAATTGGAATTAAATTTAACATTCAACCTGCATATTCACACTTATCAGAGCATAATGAACAACATGCTAATCAGATTATCCTAAAGCAGGGGTGGGGAACCTGTGGCCTCAAGGTCCTCAAGTGGATTCAGTCAAAGGGCAGCACTTGAGGACCTAGAGGGCCACATGTTACCTCAAGGCTGCAGGTTCCCCACCCCTGTCCTAAAGCTTCAAGCTCAGAAAATATGGCATTCTCAGCTAAAAAGCAGTACCTCCTGTGGGCCCTACCTTTGCCCTACTTCGAACCCTATTTGGGTAAACAGATTGCAATGAGTATAATTAGAGCTTACTTTTCCAAAGCACTTTGCTCTAATCTTTCAGCTTCCTTCTTCTGTCGTTCTTGATGCTTTCTGACACGTGTTTCCCACAAGCCTCTTATGACAGAAATGTCAAATACAATCACTTTATGTCCCATATTGGTAACATGAAGCTTCCCTGTTTAAAAAAAAAAAAAAAAGGTCAGCTTCCACAAAAAGGGTTAATTTTAAATATGAGATTTAAAATGGAAACAAAGTTAATGCTTCAAGAATCTTAGTAATAATCAATTGCTAATTGCTTACAATAATACACATGGGACCTGCGGTGGAACAATGCACTACCACCACAGATGCAGTTCATCTCTGACTTAGTGGATAAGTTAATAGTTGCATGTGACACATAGAGATTGTAACTTGCCCAGAATCATGTAACTACTATGTAATAATCAGAAACAGTACTTGGGCCCAGGTTCTCCTGTTTTCCTGACTCCCTTTAGCCCAAGACTCTACTTACAATAATAAATTTTACTAATATAACAACAGTCTTCCAGCATGATAGTAGTAATAAAAAACAAACCAAAAAGAATTTTAAGATGAGAATTATTAATATATGGGTTGTCACATAGTTTCAGAGGTTTATCAAAATCTCAATTATCTAAAAATACTTAGAAAATGAGGCTTTCCAATTATTTTAAATTTTTGGTTAACTGAAGCTAAAATAGGGGGAAAATGTGGAACCCTTGTTAAAAATCTTTCTAAAACTCATCTACTTTCCTTAGGAAAATAATATTGTGAACATAAAAGAATCCTTCATTAATTATTCATTATCTTCTCTCTCCTAAAATGCTAACATCCTTATCTCTGCTCTATTATGGATACTGGGCAGCGACATGGCAAAGTAGAGAAAGTGCCAGGATCGGAATCAGGAAGACTCATCTTCCTGAATTCAAATCTGGCACTTACTAGCTGTGTGACCCTGGGTAAATCACTCAATCCCGTTTGCCACATTTATAAAATGAGTTGGAGAAGGAAACGCAAACCACTCCTGTATCTTTGCCAAAAAAAAAAAAAAAAAAGGTGAGGGAAAGGGTCACAAAAAGTCAAAGACAACTGAAAAATAAATAAACAACTGAAAATAACAACAAATATTCTTCCAGTTACCTAGATTTGAAACATTGGTGCCATCTTTGTTTTTCTTGATCCTCTAACACCAACTCATTCCATTAGGTACCCCTGATCTTGTCAGTTCTATTTTGATAATGTCTCTTATTACTGCTCCCTCTTTACTCTTCCTACTATCACCACCCTAACTGCAGCCTTCATTAACTTTTTTCTGGATCTTTAAAATATTTCTAACTGGTATCCCTCTGTACAATCTATGCTACTTGTGAATACTTCAATTGAATGATGACAGAGAATCACAGATTTAAACTTGGAAGGGACCTCAATGGCAGTCCAGGCTAATTCTCTCATTTTATAGCTAAGGAAACCAAGATCCAGAGAGATTAAGTGACTTGCCCAAGGTCACACAGTTAGTAAATGGTATATTGCAGGACTTGGACCTTGGTCTTCTGATTCCAAATCTTTCCACTACACCAAACTTTTCTATCTCATTGATTGGGTTATTCTGGGCTGGGTCTTACTCAGGTCAGGTCCCTGGTACCTTAGGTTTAATACTAGAACTAAATGAGACATTCATAAATCATTCAACAATTAACAAAAAGAGATTTATTTAGCCATAGCAGAAAGATGTTCAACAATTACAGGCATTAAGAATAATACATCAAGTTGTTTCAGCTGAGTGAAACAAGTTTGCCTGAATTGTCTATCGTGATCCACTAGCTATCCATCTGAGTACAGCTGGAGTTTCTGATGACTGTCTTTATTTAAGCAAGTAGGAAGTGATGTCAACAGCCCAAACTTTTAGTCCCCTGAGGCAACCAAGCCTTGAAGATGCTTTCAATATCTTTCAAGGAAAAACTATCCTACTTAGCAATGGGGCAAGGTGTTAGATAATTTTCCTACCATAGAGGTACTTCTTATGATATGGATTTGAATTGATCCATATTTTCTTAATAGGCACATCTCTTTAAAAAAAAAACTTGAATGAATTTTGCCCAGTTTTCCATAAGTTCTTCAAAGTGGGGTCTACACTGTGCAAAGAATATTCCTTTAAGGGTTTAAAATTACATGGGTATTGTTATCTCTTCTTCCCACTACATGGCAGTCACATCTATTCTGATCATATTTCTCCTACATGATGTTTTGAGTCACATCTTATGTGCAAACTACTTAATAATATTCTGTGGCCTATACATAGCTACCATATAACTTTCCTATAGTTGTCTACAGAGCACTATCATCCTTTGATATCTGGTTCATTTCCCACTTAACCAATGAAATTTTTCTAAGTCCCCTTGGCTAGAAATGATCTCCTATTGCTCTGAAGTTTCACAATACTTCCCCTGTTGTGGCATTTATCACAGTCCACTTCATATTATAATGATTTAGGTAATTTTTTTCTCCTCTTTACAGTTATGATGCGTCATTATGATATGAAGATGACCTGGGTAATTTAGAGTTATTTGAGGAGAGGTCAAGTTGTTGGGTTTAGAAGCAGACAACTTAAGTTTCAATCCTAACTCTATTGATTATTTAAAGACTGAAAGTCTTTAGGCAAGAGATTTTATGTACCTGCTACCCAAAAACCATATTTACTGGGGAATCTCATTACTAGAGAGCTGACCTTTGTGTAATTCATTCTTTGGATGTGGGAATCCATTAAACAAGTGTAATGAGGGACTGACCATTGAGAGAATAGTTCTGAGAGAAGGAAAAAGGGACCCCATAGATATTGTGTTCCTATTTCTGGAAGCACCTGATGATGGAATGGAGGGGTTTGGCTCTCCACTTCCAGACATATGCATACAAGAGACACAAATGAGCCAAATCAGGCCTTCTTCCCTGAAGGTGAATGAGGTAAGAAATGCTGTAGGCTTCCTGTTGGACAGAAGGTCTCTCCCCTCCTGGGCCCTGACTCAGCATCCAATTAATAGACTTTTCTTCATCACTCTTTAAGCAGACAGGAAACAGTCACAGACTACCTGTAAACAATCTAAAGTGTACGCCTCCATTCTGCATCATCATGTACTTCCAGAACTTGGGTCAACAGCAGGCAAAACTCCTTGTGCATGGACCCAGTACTAGGCCCCCACTTCTCCTTCCAGTTACATAGGTAAAAATATCCCCTTTTTTCTGTGTATATCTTTTTTGCCTCCATAGAAGCATTCACAGCACCAGAAAATGGGGCAGAAGGTATCCAAATATGTTGGAAAGTATTATTCATGATTAAAAAATGAAAAACCAAAAGTATCTACCAGCATTAACTAACCCATTGCTACTCTTAACATAAGATCTTGGTCCACCAAAAAGTTGATGTATCTTTGAAAAAATTGAACCATGTTTATACAGACATTCTTGCTTATAAATGATCTCAGAAGATGTAGAGGAACAGCTCACAGTTTTTCCTCAGAAAGTCACATGGCAGGGAAAGAGAAATGGAGAAGCATGACATTGGTTTCATCATGTGTCCAAGATAAAAAGAAACATAATTTCACAATATTTTTAGTCATCTCACTTTGGATTCCTCATGATAAGTACAAGCAAATAGACCACCATGGATAATTATAACTTACATATCAAAAATTGTTGAAGCAGATGAAGACATATAGAAATTACAGGAACTTAACAGAACCTCAAAACCAAGTCAACATATACACTGATACATGGTGACACAATTGTGAAAAAGGGCACTAGAAAAGTTGGAGAAAAATGCTGGAAAATGTCATTCATGATTAAGAATGAAAGAGACCAAGGGGAATTGTAAGCAAAAGGTTATTCAGAAGGCTTACCCCTGCATATCATGAATTCTTTCTTCAAAGAAGAAGAATGTCAGTAGGTGAGCACTAAACATAGAAAATAAAATTAACTGTGGACAACTGCTTGCTGAACTGGGAGTCATTTCAAAATGATCTATGTGTGTGGCCAGATCATCGTTAAAGTAAAGGTCAAATTAGCATCGAATTATAAAAATGGTTAACAAAAAGAAAACACTACATAAAATTACAATAGTTTCAAACCAAACTATTTACATAAGCTATTAACTCTGAAAAATGGTAAATGAATGAAAGTCAAGACATTGGCTCTGATTGCTATTTTTCAGAGAATGTGTACAATTTAAAATAGTCTGTACAAAGAGAACCCCAGGAGGGCACAGGGAACCATCTCAGACAGCAAGCACTTGATCTCCTAATAAAAGTGGAGAGAGATGACAGCCAAGGTCAACACAAGTTCAGTACACATAATCATCTGAAAAAGGTTACTGAGAAGGGAGACAGACTAGTAGCACTTCCCCAAACAGTGAAAAGCAGTAGGTGATAACATTTCTTCAGAAAGCTTGACGTGAGAAACATTAGGATGAAATTGGATGAAGGACAGTAAATAGGTATGAAATCGAACATATACCAGCATTACTATAGCAATCTAGTCTTATCAATAAGAGTAAAACCACCACTCTGGTAGCTCATGTGCTATGTAAGGAAATGGCAATGACAAATAAGAAGATGATCCTGACTCATATCTGTAAAATATTATAAAGTTTGCAAGGTACCTTCCTTCTAACAACCCTCTGAGGTAGATAGCAGAAGGACTATCATCTCCATTTTTCAGGTTAGGAAAATGAGTCTATGAAATATCATGTGCTTCTGACAATTGGTGAAAACAACAACAGCAACAACAACAACCAGGTACACAGCTAGTAAGTATCTGAAGAAAGATTTGAACTCAGGCTTACCTGAATCCATCCAATCCTCTATCTACCCTGTTCTGCTCCCTCTCAAGAAATTAAAAAGAACAGTAAGATTGACCAAATCCAAACAGATAACGTCTGTGCTGGAGGTGACAATTTTAAAGGTGTTCAGAGATCAATTTTCAATGTATCTGTCTCAAAGAAGAGAAACGTATGAAAATATGGAAAAGATCACATATTATCTATAGAAGCAACTGAAAAGACATCAACAATGCCTGCTTATTTTTTCATCTCCATAAAATCTTTATGAGGTAGATCAATTCACATACCATTTTTTTAAGTATGAGAAGA